CAAAAGCATCGCAAAGCTTGCCTTCTTAACGAACCTAAAGGTCTCCTTCGCAACTCTTAAAAGAGCCTAATCTTATCTTAAAAGAGCCTACCTAAAGGTTCGCAGACTCTAACGAGGTTCCTTAGGGAGGGAGGAGAGCGCGGAACCTAACCTTGTTCCGTTACGGAACGAACGAGCAAGCGAACATTATTAACGAGACGTCGTTGCTAAAGGCAGGCACCGCTGCAGGGGAAGCAAAGGTTGCAAGCGCTCACACCGAAGGTCGGCGAAAGCGTGCGAGCTTGCGAAAACAGCGAAGGCGCGTTGCTTTCTGTGGGTTGCAAAGCTTCTTTGCAAGCTTGACTTCTGCAAACTATAATGCGCTTGTTATGCCACGAGCTTGCAAAGCAAGCGAAGGCGCTGCGTTTAGCACCGGATTTGTTTCGCAAGCTTCGCTGCTTGTAAGTTTCCTGTAGAGACCTAAGCGAACGCTTTGCGCCTACAAGGCCTTCAGTGCGAGCGTAAGCGAACCTGTTATAACTTGCTTCACATACATATGAGCAAGGGCGTCAGAGTCGCACCCTGGACCGCTTGCGTAAATGGACGATTTGGGGGCCGTTAAGCGCGTCATGCATATAACCCGAGAACCATATGTGATTATGGCGCGAAAACTGCTTCGCAAGCGAAACATTTTCCAAATTAGAAGTTTACTAGTTTCCTAGAAACTAAAGTAACTGAATCGTTGGCTTAGTAGGTATTTATACACATCAGTGGGTATGAAGATTTGCTTCATACCCACTGATGCGCGCACCTCAGGGAACCTATTCCTTTCGATAAAAAGCAAACAAACGCATTCTACAGGATTCGAACCTGTGACCTTCAACTTAGAAGGTTGTTGCTCTATCCAACTGAGCTAAGAATGCACCTATCTTTGAGTTACTTTTTTGTAGATAGATTGAAAAAAAAAATTTCAATTTGTTGTATTGGATTCGCGTCTAACAATTTCATTTTAGCCTGTTAGTTGTTGAGTAGCTGAGTACCAAAGTTGGCATTACAATTTCGATGAAAGATCATCGGTGTCTCTTAAGGGAGAGTGGCTGAGTGGTTAAAAGCGACAGACTGTAAATCTGTTGAAAGTCTTCTACGTAGGTTCGAATCCTGCCTCTCCCAGTGCTTTTAACTAGGAGACTTCGCTTGTATGGGTACTCAAAAATCTTGAAATTCCGAAACCGCAACTACACTTTTCATTAACCACTTGCATTCTTTAGGAGTCTTCTAATTGTTTCAAGAACTAAAAAATCGAAGAAAGATATGTCCGTAGGTGCGAAGAAAATGTCCGAATGCAAATTTATCCCAAACCTATTCGTTAGAAGCTTCGCAAGTATCCGTCGTCTAATAATGTCGCTTCCGGTCCTTGTAGGAAACCTACAAGCAGACCTCGCTTCGCACCCCAACTGGCGCCTTCGGTGTTTATTATGCACGAAAACATACTGGCGTGCGTTTTTATGCAGAACCCCAACGCCAACTGTTTTTCTTCGATAACGACGCGAAGCGTGCGAGCTTGCTTTATTATCTCGCGGGCATTGTTAGGCGCTTGCAAAGCATACCGCTTCGCTTGCGCTCGCACGCTCCGGCCTTCCCCTTTCAAATAAAACGAGCGCGCGCCCCCCCTCCGTCACACCGAGCAAGCGAAGCTTGCGAAGGCTCGTTAGAGTCGCGCATAATAAAGCTCACACCGAAGGCGCGTTAGGTCTCCTAGTAGTGAGCTTAATCAGAGCGAGCAAGCAAAGAAAAAAAGCAAGGGTCCGGTTGGACGAGCGCAAGCGAAGCAAACCACGGTTGGACGAGCGCAAGCGAAGTAAACCACGGGTTGGGCGAGCAAGCAAAGAAAAAAGCAAGGCGATGGCGCAAAGCGTGCGAGCGCAAGCGAAGCAAACCACGGTTGGACGAGCGTAAGCGAGCAAACCACGGTTGACGAGCGAGCGAAGCTCGCGAAGGAAAGTGCGGATAATGCATGCGCGGCATTATTGGTTCGCCAGAAGAAGGCTGCATGGGTGGGATATGCGCGTTTTTGTTATTATGCCGAGAGCTTGCATTTTCTTTTTATGTGCGAAGCATGCCCGTAGAAGTTAGGTTCGTTAGAAATTATGCGCGTTTTATTATGCCCCGAAGAATTTTCACTTGAAAGCGAAACACATACTTGCTTGAAAGCGAAACACATACTTGCTTGAAAGCGAAACACATAAGCTTGCTTGAAAGCGAAAGGCAAACATTATTATATTATTAAATGCATGCATTTAATATATAATAATGTTTCGCAGAAACATGCTTTGCGTTGAGCTTCCATGGTTACTGGTGCTCAATGCGTAGCATGCTTCTTCTAACCAACCATAAATGCAAGCTTTTTCTGCTTTTTTGTTTCGCGCACAATCAAATGTTGCTTGCTCACACGCTCCGCGCGCTTGCCGAACCTTTAGAGCAAGCTTATGTGTTTCTTAGCGTGCATTAAACTTAAAGTGTGCAAGCAAGCTCACATGCTTCGCATTTTGCACCCGTTTTCGCGCCTTAATTTAATAATGCAAGCGAAAGATACGAAGCACTTTGCTTGCATTGGTGCAATCCATTCGCTTCGCCGGCGAAAGATGCGTAGCATTTGCATTAAACTAGTGTGAAACATTCCGAAACATGCGAAACAATTGTTATGTTAAACTAAGCTTGTAGGCAACCTACCAAAAAATTCTAGTGAAAATAGATTTGGGAGAGTGGCCGAGTTGTAAAACTAAGGCTCGTCAGAGTATTAAGAAAGTAAAATCGAACCCTCTCCCTGCGTTAAAAAAAAAAATTATCCTTTCATTGAATTAAATAGAGTCAAAAAATATTCCTAAAGGTTCTCGAAGGTAGCTTTTCTTTTTTTTGATCAGACAGCGCTACGTAAGTGTGATCTTTAGGTTTATTTATAGTGCTCTCCGAACCGTACAAGATAGTCACCCATCATACGGCTCACCAGTCTAGCTTATTAATCTTTCGTTTTTTTCTATGATCGAAGATCTTTATTTTTAGATCTTTGTGCCTAGGCACAAAGATCTAACACTTGATAGTGTAATTCCATTTTCTTTATGAGCTGTTAAGACAAAAAAATTTCTATGGGGTAGACTTGGGGGCAGTAAATTTTTTAGCTTTTCCCAATTGAGCTTAAGTACGTTATTGTACATAGCTTTATAGAATAGAGATAAGTTACTGAATTGTATTCAGACCTCCTAGTCTACTAGAGAGTTTTGTTCTCGAGTCGTTGTTGTGCTATGTACCCAGAGTTTCGAACTTTCTATAAAAAACAGACAAAGCTGCGAATTGTAGCACTATCGAAGTAGGTCCCCAGAAAGAAGAAAACCTATAAGTTATCCTGTTCAAAGTATTTCAAGTTCTTTACTTTAACTCTGACGAGCGCCGAAGGCGCCCACCTTATTGTTTCAAGTTTCTCACTATAAGCTAAAACGATTAGATTTCTCCCTTATTTTTTGCTTACCTTTTACAAGGCGCCGTTAGGCGGGGCCAGTACTATAAATCCTCTGACTTCATTATTATAACCCATCTCTCTCGTGGGTGGGTGGTAGACGGGGGCTCGTTTGCGTCCTCTAGCAAGTTCTTCGAACCTCCTTTCGCTTGCTTTGCAAGCGGTACCGCGCATAATCTAATAATGCGCCGCCTGATAGGAAGGATACCTTGCGAAGCAAGTAAGAATGATCTCACCGTTAGTACCTGCAGTACGACTTAGTTTACTTGGAGATGTCATTAAGTACCCTGTTCCAATAAAGGTTATCTGTCATGCACTGCGCGCCTGATCGTTATTTATCACCGTCAAGTACGTGACTTTCTTGCATAAGATGTTCTTTCTAAAAAAAAGAAGTTTGCAGTAACTTTAAAGCAATCGCAATTCCATGGATATTCTTTTAATCAAGATAAGTTCTTTAAGTGTGTGTAAAGGTCCACCAGGTCTCCTATACGCAAGCTTTGCAAACCTGAAAAACGCTTGCTTTGCAAGCTAGCACACTCCGCGCGTTAGAATTTTGCTTGCTTTATTATGTGCGCCTAATAAAATAATGCCCCGAAGAAAACAAGCGCAGCGAAGCAACCCCGAAACACATACAACTTGCACATAATCCGAAACACATGCAACTTGCTACGCGAGTTTTTCGAACGTTCAGCAGTTTGCCTAAGTTTGAACTATAGTAAGATTTCTCGTATATTGATTGATTTGAAGGTTTTGCTTCGCAAAAAAAATATCTTGCAAGATTCTTTTTTTTGTTTTTAACTATTTGTAGCTTTTCTAAGCAATAGGCACGCAGTGGCCGAAAGATACTCTGATTGTGATAAGCTCATCTCTAAGCAAATTCGTTTCTAAATTTTAGAGTTACCAGTCATGTTATGGACAACTGGTTCTAACAACATGCTTTTTTTTCCAACCCTCACAGGTTATGGATAAGTTGCGTGTACACTGCAGGTGCTTTAGCACGGTCGCCCTAAATTCGACTGCGATGGTACCTCGTATTCGAAAAGTTATAACTAAAATAGCTAAACCAATAGCTGATTCAGCAGCAGCCACTGTTAAAATAAACAAAGCAAATAATTGACCCATCATGTCATCTAAATAGACAGAAAAGACTAAAAATTAAGATTAACTGCCAACAGCATTAATTCTATTGACATTAACATTATAAGTACATTTTACGATTTAAGAAGATCCCCCAGATACCTAAAAGAAATAGAATCATTGAAACGTTAAATATTTAACTAGATCCATAAGTTGCTTTTTTTCTTTAAACCTAATGCGCTGAAACGCTTCGCGCCTATTGATTTGATCATCTATTTTCTTAAAAAAATGATCAAGTGATTCTTTTTACAGTTGCTAAGCGGCAGAAATTAAAAGGTTTATTCTGCTTCAGTCACGCGCTGATTAATTATCTGTGTTATTAAGATATTATAAAATACCAACTTCTCGGCCCCAAATCCGAAGTTTATTAGTCATTTTCGAAGAGATCATGATCTGGCGGTCTTGTGGTAACAAAAAAAGTAATAAAGTTAAATACATTGTTTAAATTATTTAAGTATTTTAAGTATTTATGGTTTTTCTTCTATTTACTTATTAACCATTTTTGACTAGATTAGATGAATCTAACCAAATTAATGCTTGTAGTTCAATTGGATAGAACACCAAACTTCGGATTTGGGGTTGAGAGTTCAAATCTTTCCAAGCATGGTTTTTAATTTAATAAAATAAAAAAAATCTCAGGTACGAAGGATAAACGAAAGTAGCAAGTTTATTAGTTATCTAGTTAACGTGCGAAACGTCCAACTCATCCATAAATGATGAAATGATTCGTTGTTTATTTTGTTATTTGAAAAGGCGCCAAGCGCAGAAAAATGAGATTACCTTAAAAATACATATTCTAGCGAATCTTCGTACAGACTTTTTTGAACTAAGTCGTTACTGTATTTTTTTTATCATATTTAAGAGAATTTTTTGAAGATATAAGAAGCTTGCGCCCTTTTTTCATAATAAATAGTAGAGTAGGATCGAAGGTCTTTACTTAGGCTTTTTCTCAAATGTCCGATTGAAAAATTTCATGGAGTTGCGAAGCACGCAAGCGAAGCTTGCTGTGCTTCGGGTTTGCTTCTTAGCGTGATAATCCAAGCAAGCTCGCACGCTTCGCTAAATAGAAATAATGTCGCAAGTCTATGTTTCGCTTGCTACGCAAACTCATTTCCCGAGGTATCCTATTAGTTTAGTTAAGGCAAGCGAAGGTCTCCTATGGAGACGCAAGCGAAGCATTGCTTGTGGGGAAACGAAAGCGTCAGGCTCTTTCAAGAGTAGCTTGCTACGCAAGCGAAATACCCGAGCTTGCGAAGCAAGCGAAGGTCGCCTTCGGTGCTCTGCGAGGTTTCCGTCAGGAAAGAAGCGAAGGTTCGCTACAACGAGCTTGCAAAGCAAGCGAAGCTTCTTACGAACGTTAGGTTCGAAGAACTTGTCTCCGTTAATAATGTCGCTTGCTCGCTTTGACGAACCTAAGTAAGGCGCGAAGCGGTCGAAAACAAGCTTGCAACGCAAGCAAAATACCCGAGCAAGCAAAGCTTGCGACGGAGACATACAAGACCGCTCATAACAATGCTTGGCATGGCATGGCGCTTGCGAAAGACGCAAAGCATTTTCGATCTTTCCCAGCCAAAACAATAGAATAATGCATGTTGCTTGCTCAATGCTCCGCATTCTTTTTTTTCAGCCGGAGGCAATCAGGCATGATTGATTACCGGATGGCCGTTAGGACACCGCGAAACATGTATTAACAGATTCTGAGCACCATAATAGAATAGATAAGAATATTTCGCTTCGCAAGCAAAACATTCTCGATTAGTCAACTATGCTTTGTATTGTTTTTTACTCAAAGTAAAGCTGAAGTTATTTAGACAAGTAAAAGAAATATGAGATTATGAGAGTTGCGGTTATATACTATGATATCATAAAAGTATACTGCATTCATTCTACCTATTAGGTTTTGAAACGAGCGCTTGCGAAGCAAACCCACAGAGACGTTCGCTAGAACGAAGGTAAGTGACTCTAATGAAGGTTCGAAGAACTCGCGGTATGTTTTGCGAGCCGGTCCGACGGCCCCCCTCTTCGAAACCTTAAAAGAAAACGGGCCGAAGCGATGGCTCCGTAAGGACTAGCTTGCTTTGCAAGCGACACATACCCGTTAGAAGCAAAGCTTGCGCTCGCACCGAAGGCGCTCAGGCCTCCTTCGCGAGCTTCGCCGCACACTTCGCGGGTTTGCTTCGCTTGCGCTCGTCCAACCGGACCATCGCGAGCTTTTTTCTTCGCAAGCTCGCACACTTCGTGGGTTTGCTTCGCTTGCGCTCGTCAAACCGGACCATCGCGAGCTTTTTTCTTTTTTCTTTTTTCTTCGCTCGCTCGTCCAACCGTGATTTGCTTCGCTTGCGCTCGCACCGGAGGCCACGCAAGCTTTCCGTCGCAAACAAAGCTTGCTCGCTCTGACGGCCCTAAAGCGGTGCTTCGCCCCCTTCGTTGCTTGTAGACGCAAAGCGAGGCTTACGGCACATTATAATGTGCCGTAAGCCCTACAGGCAAAGCGAGCAAGCAAAGCTTTTTTCAGTCGCAAGCAACATTTGATTTGTGCGAAAAAAAAAAGCGCAAGCTCGCGGCATTATTAGGCGCACATAATAAATAATGCAAGCAACCGTACGGTTGCTTCGCTTGCTCGCCCTAGCGTGGTTTGCTTCGCTTGCGCTCGCACGCTTTGCGCCATCGCTTGCTTTTTGCAAAGCAGCCGCTCCTTCCTTTAGGGACCTTTGGGCGCGGAGCGCAAGCGAAGCGCTCGCATGCTTTGCGGGCATTTAGGCACTCAATAAAATAATGATGCTTGCTCGCACGCTTTGCGCATCGCAAGTTATTCGAATTTCCTCGTGGAAACCAACCAATTAGGTCCGTTGGCCGTGAGATCGTAAGCGAAGCAAACCCGTTAGAACTTTGCTTGCGACGGAGACGCAAGCGGTGCTTCTAGGTAAACCTACAACCAAAAAGAGAACAAGCTTGCAAAGCAAGCGAAGCAACTCTTTTTTATTATAAAAAAGAGTTGCTTTCTTTAGTTTGCGCGTGCTGTGCTACCAAGCAAGCGACATTATTTTATTAGCTTCCTTTAGGAGGCGAAGCAAGCGTAGGCGACGGAGCACAAATAACAAGAGAGGAGTGGACGCTTCGCACCTAGGCTTGCTTCGCAAGCTTGTTCTTTACGGAACCTATTTTTTCAAGGTGTAGCGCAGTCTGGTAGCGCATCTGTTTTGGGTACAGAGGGTCATAGGTTCGAATCCTGTCACCTTGATTTAAGATAATTAGATTAGAAAAAAAGCACATGATACAATGAAGATTAATCGACCATTATCACCTCATCTTAGTATATACAAACCACAACTTACATCTACTTTGTCTATTTTTCATAGAATTTCTGGAGGATTTTTAGCAGTCCTTTTCTTATTTACTATATTGTTTTTAAAGGTATGCGACCTTGGCTTAAGTTTTTATCCAATTTATTGGTGTCTTTTAACTATTACAGCATATTTTGATTGGTTTCTGTTTAGCTTGGCTAATTTGGCATTATTGGCTTTATGCTATCATACGAGTAATGGAATTCGTCATCTACTTTGGGATTTTGGATTTTTTTTAGATTTATCAAAAGTATACATTACAGGCGCTTTAGTCGTGATATTAAGTGCAATTCTTTTAATTCTTTTAAATAGTTGGAAGCTTTATTTTCTTTAAAAAAACAAGTCTAATAGCATGAACACAAAGCATTCAGCCTTGAATCATTGGCTTATTCAGCGAGCAACCGCAATATTGTTATTACCTACTATTTTTATGTCAACTTCCTACCGGATGGCTTTGATTTCTTTAACTATTTTAGTAGTTTGGCATCTTCATTTAGGTTTAGAAGAAATTTTAGCAGATTATGTTCACCATGAGGTTACACGAAATCTAATATTAATACTTCTAAGGATTTTTCTTTTAATCAGTATTAAATACGTCTTTGTTTTCGTGTTAACACATGTACTTTAAAGGACACGGCGGTTTATCCGCCGTTTTTAATTCTTCAAAAACGGAATCTCTCGCACCGCATAATAATGCATGCTTGCTGTATGTGTTTCAGAATGTTTCGCTTGCATTATTATGTGTTTTTCCTGTGACAATCTTATGCTCATAATAATTTTCTGCGCCCATAAAATAATTTTGCTTTTCTCAATTTCGTTGTTTTAGCGAACCAATAAAAAAAAAAGATGCAAGATAACTATGTTGCTCGATTTCAATTTCAACTTTTTAAGAAAACGTTCTTAACTATACTTAATAAGTTTTCTTTAGGCATAAAAACCGCTTCTGTGCTGTTTTGGGAAAGCCCTTGGCGCGCTATTCTCATGGTGTTGTGGGAAGTAGAGGTTCTTTCTTTTAAATTTTCTTTTCTTTCTTACTGCCTGCTTTATTTTTTTTTCATGAAGACTTCTGTGGGTCAGATTGTTTTCTCACTTATTTTAATCCCTTCATATGGGTTGGCAGAAAAAGATTTTCCTTGGCTTTTAATTTTCTATTACTTATTTTTATTCGAAGGATATGTTGTGTACTTAGTTTGTAAATTCGTCCCAGAATTTTATGATTTTTTAAAACAAGAATTTGGCGTCGAGTTTTTAAAAGAATTTTGTGATAATTCCATTTTTAATAAAATTCGAATTCATTTGAGTTTTTCTCTTGCATATCCATTTATTCGGGCCTTTGAACAAAGTCATACCGACGAAAGAGTTAATAAAACATTTAACGAGCTTCACAAGAGTGCGCAGAGCTCTTCTGATTGGCGCAATACTATGGCGGATCTCTCGGAGCTTCGTCGTCAAGCGAGAGCAGAGGTTGGCCTGCCTTTGACTCAAAGGATGGAAGAAGCGGTGGCTACGGGCATCCTTCATGGATTCGCTAAGATAGGGGAAACGTTCGTAAAATCACGCGGCAATGGTGAAAAATAGAGTTCTTCGGGGGATTCTGTAGCTAACACTTAAAAACGCATTTATCAATTAAATTTATTATACCGCGGCCAGTTTCACTGGCCGCTTTTTTTGTCTTTATTTAATCTAAGGATAAAAAAGAGAAGAGAATTTTCTATACCTACAATTTTCTATACTTGCCTACTTTGTAGCTTGCTCACTTTTCTGCGAAAATCTTTCGCTTGCAAAGCAAGTCTGTGTGTTCGTGTAATAATGCAAGCTTTTGAAATGTCTTTCGTTCGCGGAGTTTTCAAATGGCTCGCGTGCGTGATCATGCAGGCAAGCTCCTATTGAAATGAAAACCAATTTAATGATGCAAGTCTCCGTCGCAAGCGCATAATTAATTTAATTTTCATTTCAATAGGAGACCAACAACTACTTGCAAGTCCTTCGCAAGTTATTCGGGTAGGCGAAAGCTTGCAAAGCAACTTCCTTCGGTGCGCGGCACGGTGCGCAGCACGGACCTTCGCTTGCAAAGTTCTTCGGCGCATTAGTTTCCGCCGCCTTTAGGTGCTTAGTTTGCTCGTGCGAAGCACGCGCAAACTAAGCGCAAGCGAATTTCTAACGCGCCTTCGCTTGCAAAGCAAGCTCGTTTTCTTGCCTGACGGATTCCGCAGTTGCCGTTTAGGGCACCGAAGGTGCTCCTTTACTTGCCTTTGGCGACTAAAGAAAAAAAAACAAAAACCTTTGTGCCTTCGCTTGCAAAGCAAGCGAAGCAGCTTTATGTTCTTTAGGTGCCAATTTCTCGCACCGAAGGCGCTCCTTTGGTGTCCTGTCCTAAGGCTCGCACGGTTCGCGCCCTCGGTGCGAGAAAGCCTCGCAACGGCGAGGCTTTCCTTACGGGTGTTTCGCGCTAAGGGAAGTTCGTTAGGACTTCAGCGCCTTCGTCGGGTACATTATTAGATTAGGCTGCCGAAGGCGTGATTGGCTTCGCTTGCGCTCGCGCCGAAGTTCTAACGAAAACAAAGAATAATGACGCCAGCTCGCACCGCAGACGGGGCATTATGGTCGCGCATAATATATATTTTGCAAGCTGTGTTTTTACGTATTTTCTTTTTGCGGGGCTAGGCCCTCGCGCTCGTTTTGGGGCTTTTTGCACAACCATAAACGGAACCTGCGGAACCTGACGGAAACATTAGATAGGTTCGAATAATTTAATTCGCGGACCTGTGCGTGCGGAAGACATAAGCTTGCTTGCATGCATTATTCTATGGGAAAGACATACTTGCGAAAGATGCGAAAGACTTGCATGCACATAATAATATAATGCGCTTTCGCAGAACAAAATAATAATATAATGCGCTTTTGCAGAACAGAATACAGCTGGCATGCATTGTGCGTATCATTTTTTTGTGCGAAGAACTTGCAAATGATCTAAAAAGCAATCCTGCGGACCGTCAATTCTTTTTAACATACTTGACTGTAGTTGACTTAAAAAATGTCATATTTGCTTCGCACCTGCGGACCTAGCTAAAAAAGAATTTTAGGCCAAATTTTTCAAAATTGTACAAAAAAGTTATGTTGCGTTAACAAAGTTATATGAAGTTTACCAATAAAGCAAAAACTTTTCTTGTTACTACAAAAATGTCAAAGACTGTACTGTAATATTGATACTTGCTGCTTTTTTCTTTGAAGTGAACTTAGATAAATATTTAGCTCAGTGAATCTAGTCTAATTTATTGGCATAGGGCCGTTAGGCAACAACCTAAAATCTCTGTTGTAATTCAATTCTTAGCAATACTTCACCAAGCTTCAGTGTAACAAGTAATTTATGAAATAAAAAAGAATATTTCAAATAACAAGAATGAAAATTAAATAAAGATGAAAATTAAATAAACTTTATCTTATTCTTTCTTTCTGAAAAGATATGTGATCAGAATGAAAATATACTTGTAAGTACCACTGTCACTCTGACGAGCCTTATTAGAAGCATAGTCAAATCTTGCCATAAAATAAATGATGTAAAAATCATACAAATTTCGTATAACTCTGTACCAATACAACTACTGGTGGGAAGCAATGGCGTGAAGCGGGTGCGCAGCATTCAATCAATAGTTTTTGTGAAGTTATTCGCTAGAACGAGGTTCCGAAGGAACAAGCGATGGCGCCTTCGCGAGCTTCGCTCGCTCGCACACTTCGTGGTTTGCTTCGCTTGCGCTCGTCCAACCGTGGTTTGCTTCGCTTGCGCTCGTCCAACCGTGGTTTGCTTCGCTTGCGCTCGTCCAACCGTGGTTTGCTTCGCTTGCTTTTTTCTTCGCAAGCAAAGCACACTTCGCGGGTTTGCAAAGCTTGCGCTCGCACGCTTTGCGCCATCGCGAGCTTTTTTCTTAGCTCGCTCGTTCTAGCGAACCTTCGGTGCGAGCGTAAGCGAAGCAAATCAGCCGCAGGCAAGAGCGAGCGAAGCTCGCGAAGGCTTCGCGCCTCATCAACGAGCGTAAAACTCTTTCGCCCCGCCTACAAGCAACTTAACAAGCGGTGCTAGACGGGGAATGCAAAGGTTGCGCACATAAAGGCGAGGCGCGGAGCATTTAGCAAGCTTTGCTTGCTAAATGCACTCCTGCCTGAAGGAGCCTCGTTACAACTTTGCTTGCGACAGAGACTTGTTATGGAGACTTGCGAAGCATGCTCAAACTTTCTGCGAAACCTTATCGCGTGCTTCGCACCACGAAAGCTTTGCTTACGATACTTAGGGGTGCCTTTTTATCAACTTTACGCAATGACTTTTGAAATCAAATTATATAAATATTTCTTTAAATTATCAATAAAAAAAAAGTGCTAACGAAAGAAAGCACTAAACTGAATCCAATACATGAGTTTGATCCTGGCTCAGAATGAACGCTAGCGATATGCTTAACACATGCAAGTCAAACGTTGTAACAAAAAAGTTCACAAAGTGGCGAACGGGTGCGCAACGCGTGGGAATCTGCCAAGTAGTAGAGGAAATTACAATCTAAATCCTCTATATAAGTAGCTTTTCAAGCCTTAGAAAGCTAGAATGCGCTATTTGATGAGCCCGCGTAGTATTACGGTAGTTGGGGGGGTAAAAGCCCACCAAGCCTATGATGCTTAGCTGGTCTTTTCGGATGATCAGCCACACTGGGACTGAGACACGGCCCAGACTCCTACGGGAGGCAGCAGTGGGGAATCTTGGGCAATGGGCGAAAGCCTGACCCAGCAATATCGCGTGAGTGAAGAAGGCAGATAGCTTGTAAAGCTCTGTCATCGAGTTTGAGATAATGACAAGACTCGAAGAGGAAGCCCCGGCTAATTAACAATTGGCCCTTATAGCGCGCAAGCGTTATTCGAAGAACTTGGCTCATAACGGTGGAAGTCTTTGGGATTTGTTACGCTTGCTTATAGTAACTCAAAGGTAATACCGTGGGAAGTCTTTCTAAACAAGAAAAAAAAGTATAATGATTCAGCTGAAATAGGTAGTAGAATTGAAAGCTGGAAATCATCATCTAATATTAATATCCCATAGTATGGTTTATGTATTCCTGCACGAAACTTTGGGTCTTTGCGAGAGGCCATTTATGATATTGTAAAAAAGGAAGTACCTACCATGTTCTATAAAAAAGAAAGACCCCGTAACGACTGAGGAAATGGCATCTGCTTGCAGATTCCAAAGTACAAGATAGCAAAACTTGCTATAAGACGCCGAGGCTCTTGCTGCCAAGCAAGAGTATGGTATAGTCTATGCTTTGGTGTGAACCAAAGAAATACATGAACTACGTGCCAGCAGCAGCGGTATTTCAAAAACGTTTTGCCGCCTGGAATAGTGATGTTCCAGAAAAATCCGGCTCATAACGGCGAAAGTCTTTATTCCTTAGCGGAATAAAGGTAATGCCGTGGGAAGTTCTTTGCTGAGAAGCAAAAACCCCGTAACGACTGACTCGAAAGAGGAGAGCTAAATAGCTAATACGCCGGCGCTTACAAAAAAAGGAAAGCAAATATGAGAACTAAAATAGAGAATTTTGAATTTCAGAAATTAAGGAAGAAGATAGGCTGCGCAGCAGTTGACAGTGCATATTCTTCTATGGTAAGGCAAGCTGCTGCATCGCAATCGAGCGAGGTAGCAAATCAAATAGAGACACCCGAAAAATAGAAAACTTGGGCCCCTTTTGTTTAAGTTTGGAGTACCTAGTTGGTTTTTTTGAAACAGACGGATCTTTCCAAATACTGTTTAAGAAAGATCCAACAATGCCTATAGGTTATAGAGTTCACCCAGTAGCTATCTTTAGTCAACGAGAAAGAGCTATCTTAGAAGGAGTTAAAAGAAGACTTGAGCACCATCAAATAAGATGTCAAATGAAGGATGGTAGTAGCAAATCAGTAGGGGATGCAAGTTTAATAACTTCGGGAAGAGCTTCTAATCTTATAATATCGGGTATCAAGGAAGTGCGTAAGTTTTTGGATTTATTTAATAAAGCCGAGGCGGTTATGCATGGAATTAAATGGGTGGATTTGCATATAATGAGAGCAGTCTTATCTATTATAGAAGAAAATAGGCATAATAGTCTTGAAGGTCGACTTGAAATAATTGATCTAAAATTTCACATGCATGTAGATTCTGAAGAAGAGGCGGCAAAGCGAGTAGGAGGTCTTAGTAGAGTAAGCTGGGAAAAAAAGACACAAGAGTGTGCCTGGTTCATCTTATAAAAAAGCGATTTCAACGAGTTGGCTTATATATGATAATTATAAGTGGCACAAACTTTGTTGGATGGATCAGAAGGCTGTAAGCCAGTAAATGAAAACCAATTAACTAATGATCGGGGACTTCTTCAAGTGGCCTTCGACAAGAAGTTCGATATAGAGCTACCGAAATTCAAACAAATATCGGGAGATTATATATCGGGGCAACTAGAGGGCGACGGTTGCTTAACTTATCATGTGAGAGTCAATAAAAGAAGTGTAAGCTTTGAGGCTAGTTTGCGTAAACCAGTGGAAAAGGGAGGCTCCCTAATATTAGAAGTCATAGCTTCTTATTTTGGGGATAGAACGAAATTCCACTTGAAGAGTTCTCGGTCAAAGGGGGCGCTTGTGTGTATTGGTCAAGTAATAAAGAAGTCTTAAAACGATTATTGGTTCATGCAGAAGCTTACCCTATACTAGGGAAAAAAAAAACAGATCGAAGCGGCCTTATTTAGAATTGCATTCCAAAGACTCGAGAAATTGGGAATATAGCGAAATAATAGAATTAATAAAATTAATTTATAGAAATTCTCCTAGTCGAAGAGTACGGAAAAAGCCACTTTCGATCTTAATATCTGAAGTTGAAAAAATATATTCGTCTCGAAGTAAATAAGTCTCTAAGTTTGCTAGTAAGTAGAAAGCATAGTCTAATCCGATAAGTAATTATTGGTATATAAAAGAAAACGTGGGGGGCGAGTGTTATTCGGAATGACTAGGCGTAAAGGGCATGTAGGCGGTCAATCAGGCTGAAAGTGAAAGCCACCAGCTTAACTGGTGAATTACTTTCAACACCAATTGACTTGAGTAAGATAGAGGAAGGTGGAATTTCGTGTGTAGAGATAAAATTCACAGATATACGAAGGAAGGCCAAAAGCGAAGGCAACTTTCTGGGTCTTTACTGACGCTGAGGTGCGAAAGCATGGGGAGCAAACAGGATTAGATAGATCCGGCCATGCTCTAAAAAAAATGGCCAAAGGTGTCCCCTTGCTCCGTGAGGAGTGAGTGTGAATCTAGCTATTTCGGGGAAAGCCAAAGCAGTGGTAACCCCGAGGGAAGTACTTATTGTCTCAATTGGATAATAGAGTACCCCGTAGAGACTATGAAAGAAAGAAGATAGAAGATATGTCACCACGAACTACAAAAAATGCAAGTTTTATTCATCATGCTTTATTACGTCAACGGCCCGGCTTAAAGTTTTCAGGGGGCCTGCGCAGGGCGCTTTCTTCCGAAAGTCTTTGGGTGTGATGAAAAAACAGGTAAAACTTTTTGACCAAATATCTTTGTCGGATCATTGTAAATCTATTATTTGTGGAACACTATTGGGGGATGGGTGTCTACAGATAGCTAAAGGCTATAAAAATGCAAGACTATCCATTCGTCACAGCCAAGTTCAAAGGGAATATTTTGATTGGAAAATTGCCAATTTAAAAGAAATCGCTTCACCAAAATCTGTCCAAATATCTAAAGCTAGTGGTTATAGTAAGAATACAAAATTCTTATTTCAAAGTGCGAGTCTACCCGAACTTACGTTGATGTATAATCTTACGTACAAAAAAAAACGGCTTTGTATTCGTCGTCGTTGGCTTAATAAGCTTACTCCGCTATCTTTTGGCTATCTGGTGGTGCGATGATGGGTCAATTATAGGAAATCCACCTCGTAGAGGCGTGTTATGCACAGATGGTTTTGACGAAAAGTCAGTTCGAATGCTTGCGCGTTATTTAGAAAAGTGTGGGCGCTAAAAGCACATGTAGGCGCAATTCGTCGAGACCGCAAATATGGTAATTATACTGAAGAAAAGAATATTTTCGACTTTGGTTTAGTACCAAAGAGCTTAAGAAGTGGCTACGTATTATACTGCCACACATTCCTGTAGCCTCTATGGTGTGTAAAAACAAGACTAATTTACAAGGATTCCCAATTTCAACAACGCTGGATCTCTGAGCAGTGTTCAGCCTTGCCTCAATTTACTAATGAAATAGAAGAACTCTATATCCTAAAAAGAAAGCAAAACATTGATTCAGAGAATGATATAGTCCAATAGTGAAGCTTTTCTTCACTTTGACCCTGGTAGTCCATGCCGTAAACGATGAGTGTTCGTCCTTGGTCTTGCCCTATAGGCGGATCAGGGGCCCAGCTAACGCGTTAAACACTCCGCCTGGGGAGTACGGTCGCAAGACTGAAACTCAAAGGAATAGACGGGGGCCTACACAAGCGGTGGAGCATGTGGTTTAATTCGATACAACGCGCAAAACCTTACCAGCCCTTGACATATGAGTAAGCTTATCTTTAATCAGATGGCTCTAAAAAACTCATACAGGTGCTGCATGGCTGTCGTCAGCTCGTGTCGTGTTCATTTCGCGACCAAGCTAAGTGATTAGTTTGAAAAATCCGACTCATAACGATGGACCCCCCCTAAGTTGATTAAAACACGCTTAGCGGAGGCAATATCGTGGGAAGTTCTATTCTAAGTACAAGCTGAAAAGATTAAACATACAAATAATTCCATGATTATCGGCTGCATACTTGGAGATGGGTAATAAAATATAGTAGTTTAACTTTGGAACATTAAATCGAGCAATCAGACTCTATCTATTGAAAATATGCAAAGTTAAAAGAGTTGAAATTCTTAACCGAAAAATGCGAGTCCAAATTAGTAAAAGTATTCA